AGAGAGAGAGAGAGAGAGAGAGAGAGAGAGAGAGAGAGATTTTAAAACAGTGCAGCAGCGGGGGAACAAAGGGGAAGATTAATGAGTCATGAAGCCGTCTTCAAAGTATAGTAATGACTCATGAGGGTAAAAAACGATTAAGTCTGAGTTCTGATAGGTTGCTGCTGTGCCTTTTGTTTCCTTTTTATTTTCTGCTCTGTTGGAATACAAGATGCGTTTAAGCTCTTACAAGGTAGACCCCAGTATAGTTTTCCCCAACTGATCAATCAGCTGCCTGACAGTTTGACTGCCTTGTAGATAAACTGGTGAAGGGCAGGGACAGGATTGGTCACGCATTGATAAGTTATCACCAGCTGGTAGTTGATTGATTGATGTTTTGATGGATGCTTTAACCTACCCCCACTGGAGGCTGAGACCCTGATCGATTTATTGATGCGCAGGCTCCAGGAGAAAGCTGCGGACACCATTGAGTCACTGCACAAGGCCGGGATGAAAGTTTGGGTCCTGACGGGGGACAAGATGGAGACGGCGGCGGCTACCTGCTACGCCAGCAAGCTGTTCCGCCGCAGCACCCAGATCCTCGAGCTGACCAAGAAACGCACAGAGGAGCAGAATCTGCACGATGTTCTGTTCGAACTAAACCGGACTGTTCTCAGACAACGCTCGATTTCTGGGTATGACATCATTCATGTGTATATCTGCAGTGCTGATTGTTTTCTCCGTCAGTCGTTTGGTTTAGTAAATAGTGATCGCAAGTTTAGAGTCCAAGGTGAATTTACTAAAATGTAAAACAAGAATGAGCTGCAAATTATCACATCTGGAACCATCACATTTTGAAAATGACCATCGAGTAATTGATTATTTGACTTGTAGTTGCAGCTTGACGGTGTATATACAACATTTTGCATGATAAATGCTGTGGATCCCTGCATCACATAATCATAAATAATATTTCCATTCAACACAAGCTTAAAGAAGTAGAATATCAAGACTACAGACTGATCTACAATTGGCTATAATCGAAGCTTTCCTGTTGATCGGTCTGTGATATTTTGATCCAGGTTGTCAGTAGACTGCCTCGACTTTGGTCTGATCATCGACGGGGCCACTCTGTCTGCAGTACTAAAGCCCAAACAGGAGGTGGCCGGTTCCGGCAACTACAGAGAGATCTTTTTAGAGATCTGTCGCAACTGTAGCGCTGTGCTCTGCTGTCGGATGGCACCACTGCAGAAAGCACAGGTGAGAGAGCTGCACTTCACTTTACAGATATAGTCCGGGCCCGTTCCTCAGTGACAAACAGTGGTAGTGACTGACGTCGGGCTTTTGTTTCTGCAGATTGTGAAGCTAATTAAAGCCTCCAAGGAGCACCCCATAACCCTCGCCATCGGCGATGGGGCCAACGATGTCAGCATGATCCTGGAAGCACATGTGGGCATTGGTGAGTACATTTCAACACCGTAATAAGTGTCCGTTGATAAATGAAAGACGCTGCTTCTAATAGAGGCCAGGTTGATTTGTAAAGCCTCCGGATATTGATTCTTTTATTTTTAAAGTAAAACAAATTTGATGAAGATGTATGGGTCACACACTCACACATAATGTAAACAAACATTTTTGGCAGGAATCCTTGTCAGATATGTACAGAGACACGACGTTTAACATTTGACAGTTAACTTTTATTATCAAATTCTTTCAATAGAAATCCTTACTTGAATACATTATTAAATAAATAATTATAATTGCTAACTACATAAATAAATAATATAGTTAATACATTTAAAAATGGCCACATATACCTACAAATTCATTTAATACAACATGCATGCACTTGGTTTCTATTTGACTATCTGCCAACACATACAATCATACAATATATTTGTGAAAAGCCAGTTTTGGCTCACCTATATAATACTAGTATATTAGTTGGGCTCTAGTCTCCATATTTAGGAAACCACCTTCATGTGTTACACCCATGGCTGTGTTATCCTAATCAGATTTCATGTAACCCATCTCCTTTTTCTCCTGAAGGCATCATGGGTAAAGAGGGCCGACAGGCGGCAAGGAACAGCGACTATGCCATCCCGAAGTTCAAGCACCTGAAGAAGATGCTGCTCGTTCATGGCCACTACTATTACATCCGTATTGCTGAACTTGTTCAGTACTTCTTTTACAAGGTACGAGACGAATGCCTTGTGTGCTCCACTGGCTCACGCGCTCTAATCACTTTATGGTAATTCCCAGTGAAACACTTGAGTTAAAAAGAACCCGATTTTGCAGCTACTCTGACAGATTACCGGATTCATGAATCCCTGGTGAAACATTCTCTCCTGGATTCATGGCTCCGATGATCAGTGTGGGCGGCTTCCGCAGCAAGCAGCGCCCTGCCAACTGATTCATTTTTTTCTTCTTTTGGCAGGCCAGCTCTTTGCGGCCCACTCAGTGAGCTTATAGCAAACAATCTCTGCGTAAACAGAAATGTGTAGATGGTGGCATTTTTAGATTCTTCAAATCTTTTCCCGTGTACTCGTCACAAGCTGATCACTCTCTCTATGTGTTTTTTTTTCTCCTCTTAAATCTCTCCAGAATGTATGCTTCATCTTCCCTCAGTTCCTGTACCAGTTCTTCTGTGGTTTCTCCCAGCAGGTAAGTTCATCATACTGTTAGGGCCCCAGTCTGACAATTCTGTGCAACATGTTCATTATAACAACTTTAAAAAAACTTGAATTTGTCAATATATTCAGCTTGTTCTGCTGCCGACAAGTGGCCAAAAACAACAAATGTCGTCTGTATTGTCTTTGTCCCTCTGCAGCCTCTGTACGACACCGCCTATTTGACGTTGTACAACATCAGCTTCACCTCACTCCCCATCCTCCTCTACAGCCTGGTTGAGCAGCACGTCACCATTGACAGGCTCAAGAGGGACCCCTCCTTGTACAAGTCAGTGCAGTTCTGATGAAAAAACTTTCATGATACAATCTCTGTTTCTTTTACTCAGCTGCTTCTTTTGTCTGCCGTCTTTCTTAGGGACATAGCGAAGAACTCCCTCCTCCGCTGGCCCGTCTTCATGTATTGGACGTGCCTGGGTGTGTTTGACGCTGTTATCTTCTTCTTTGGTGCCTACTTCCTGTTTGACAACACCACCTTCACCAGCAATGGCCAGGTGAGCCTATGTCAACAGAGGCAGTGGGATCTGTCATTTCTGTGAAACGAGTGGAAATAGATCAGTTTGTGGGGCGTTCGAGGTGTCCTTTAGGGAAATTAAAAGAGAATAATGGACACAAAGTTAGTGCTCCCTTTAGGAACACTCATCCATCTTCATTGGATTCTCATGAAAGAGGAGTTAAGTGTTACAGGATGACTTTGCGGTCATGTGTTTGTTATTGTGGGTCTGTAACAGTAAGGTTTCTGTCCCAGGCCCCCCGATAGGTCAGCAGCATCGGATCTCCATTCATATCGACAACGCAGTAGCATCCTTCTCTGTATTGTTAATTTGTATCATGTCAACTGTTTTCAATTGCCTTTGGTCCTGTTTTTTAAGTTGAAACATCCTGAAATTCATTTTTCCCTTTGTCCTGATTCCTTTCTCTTTTCTCCCCCCTCCTTCTCTCTGCTTCCTTTCTCTTTATTTTGCTCCTCTTCCACTTCCTCTTCTGTTTCTTCTTCTTCTTCTTCTTCTTCTTCTTCTTCTTATTCTTCTTCTTCTTCCTCAGCTTATGACCACCAACACACAGATGGTAAGCCTATCTCCCTCCCTGTCAGCTCTCTCTGTCTTTTACGCTTTTTTTAGTTCCTGTCGTACCGTTTAAGCTTTCAGTTTCACCGTTTCATCCAGTTTCATCCCTCCTCACTTCATCCTCCATGCCCTTTCATTTGAATGTGTAGATTTCTAGTGCTCCATTATTCCTCTAATCTCTGTAAAGCCCTGAATCCTACACAGTACCTGATCTTAATAACTCCACTGACATAGTAGAAACCTTAGATGCTCCCCCACATTATCCTTGTGTTTCGTTGTGCTGGTAAATAAAGTAATGCTAGTATGCACTATAGATTAAGATCTAACATCTGTTTGTTGTTCTGTTTAACGTGTTTGTGCATCTGTGTGTATTCGTACGTCCAATGTATTTGTGGTAGCAGTTCTTGGGGTTGGGTAGTTTTTAATGTCACTGCTCCAGCATCCAGTGGTTGGCTGGTCTGCTTTCATCCTGTACCCTTTGTGTACGGGTGACAAATTCCTGCTGTTTATTGCATCCTTAAAGAAAATAATTAATGGAAGGAGGCACTCTTGCAAGGAAGGTGCCCTGGTACCAACAACCAGCTGTGGTTATTACATACTGTAAATTCCCGGCTTTCTTCGTCTTGATTTCCCTCCACCCCCCCTCCCTCTTTCATTACCTCCTTCTCAACACTCATTCCATCTGTCACTCCTGATGTCTGCTTAAACCGTTTCTATGATGTCAGCAGGTAGAAAGATTTGGGTGCAAAGAGGGAAGGGAAAGGAAAATATTCTCAGTTTATTGGCTCCAAAGCTAAGTACCTATTTAAACGGATCACCTGAAACCACAGGATGTCCTCCAATCCATGGATGCTGGGCGATAGGGTTGTGTGATTGATGTGGCCGCTAACCCTCTTCTTCCCCTCCTTCCCTCGCAGATGTTTGGGAACTGGACCTTCGGGACTCTCGTTTTTACTGTGCTGGTCTTCACCGTTACACTCAAGGTGCGTGAGCACATGTCTTCAGAAGTGAAGCGAGGAAGAAAAGAGACACCCCAATGTTATTGCATCGCATAATCCCTCCGTTTAAATGAGTTCATTACCGTTGCATGTGTGCCCCATCGTATGCGTGGACAAGCTCGCGGCGCACACGTTAACTAGCATGTTACGCAAATGATCAACTACACATTGGCCGCTCAGTTTGCACAGCAGTAAATCCTAAAGGCAAAGTCATTGACTTCATTGACAGGCTGTGTTTTTACGTGTGCATTCTGCTTGTTTCAGCTTGCCTTGGACACACACCACTGGACCTGGATCAATCACTTTGTCATCTGGGGGTCACTACTTTTCTACGTTATTTTCTCTCTTCTCTGGGGAGGCATCATTTGGTAAAATGTGTTTTTTTTTCTAGCAAGTGCAACTTTTTATGTAGCTTCGGAGATTTGTGAAACCCTTTTCTGTCTTTCCCGTTGCTGCGTAGGCCCTTCCTGAACTACCAGAGGATGTACTACGTGTTCATGCAGATGTTGTCCAGCGGTCCGGCCTGGCTCAGCATCATCCTGCTGGTAACGGTCAGCTTGCTGCCAGATGTCATCAAGAAGGTCCTCTGCAGGGCCATGTGTCCCACAGCCACCGAACGTGCACAGGTACGATCTCGGCACCAAGCTTTAAATTCTCTTGTCCCCAGGTTAGGTGTGTTTTCCTGTAAAGACTTCTGCTTTGCTAAAATCATTAACCAATTAATGCTTTCCCATTTTTTTTAATTCTGCCTTTTTATCAGATAATTTCAGTTCATGAACTGAAATGGTCTGATATAGTAAGTAGAATCCACTCCTATGCTAGCTGATACTTAATGTTTTGACTGTAAGAAACCACATGAGTAAGCTGCAAATCTATTCCACTCAATTAATCCTCCAGGAACGCCATTAGAATCCCTAATAGCTTTGAGCAACAGTGTGATTTAGAATGACTTTTTGTTCCCTGTGGCTTAGCCTCACCTTCCTGTGAAACAGGCTTCACCATGAATGGCAAAATGAATGAAAGGTCTGACAGATTTCTCCCTGCTGTGCTCTTTCTTCTCTTTTCTCCCTTCTCACTGCAATCTGATGGACCACCATCACCCGCACCATCCTCCCTTTTCCTTTCATTCACCATATCCTCTTTTCTTCCTTTCTTTTTTCTCCCCCTTCATTACCCTCTCCTCTCTTGTCCCCCCCCCCACACACACACACACACACTGCTCCTGTGACTCTGCACTCACTCGCTCTTTCGGGGGGTAACTGCAGTCCTCTCGCCCGTGCCTTACTGTGGAGCCGTCCACCATCTTCATGCTTTCTCAGTCCTCCAGCAGAATGAGTTTCTGATTGGCCCAGAGAGACGAGAGAGGAGCAGGAAGAGGAGGTGACTCTCTCTCTTTTAAGCCCTCGTCTCTGTATGCATGGTGGTATGTCTCAGTGTAAACCACCTATTACTGTCTCACTTACTGCCTCGCGTCATGTGAAACTAACTACTAGGTCGCTATTGATGACAATAGTGAAACTGTGTTTGGTTAGAAGATTATACTTTCCTGTCACCCTTCCCATTATATATATTGTGTGTCTTTTGTGTTTTGTTTTAGATGTACTGTTTAAGATATTTAAATTGCATGCCATGATTTATAGTGTCTTTTATTTTGTCACCTTGTTTTTGAAATGATTTAGGCATGTGTGGGACCACAGTTTTTCTAAAATTGTTGGTCAGAAACAAATCAGTTGGATTTGCAGAATGTCTTCCATGCAAAACACCAGTTTGATATTTCGTATTTGCTATTCTGGTTATTCAAAAATCATCATCAATTGTTTTGATACATTTTTTATTTCAAGTCATTTTCAAAGCCAAAATCTTAAAGCTCCAGCTTCTCTAATCTAAAGATATGCAGTTTTTTTTCTGTTATATTAAATAACATATGATTTATCGACAAAATAAGCTTTACTTGCTGTCCCGATTATTTGTCATCACTCAACCATTCCAGATCACGTGTTAGCTATCGGATAGCCTGACGTTGATTTACAGAAATGGTGTGCAATCCTGAAAGACGGTTAGCAACCTCTTATTGCCAAAGATCCACGACACCGTTTAAGCTTCCCTCTAAAATGTGTCCTTGGAGATCAAATCAGGATTGGACAGTAGTATTTACAGCTGTGACTAACCCAGGGTGCACTGGGGCCTTATCTGAAGTCCCATTCAGAGTTTGTCGGGGAACCTGAACATGAAAGTGTAATCACTGCACTAAAAGTTAGAGTCCTTTTTCAGTTTAGTTGCAGTGGTCACAGTTACCACAAACAATATCTAGCTAGCCAAGGCCAGTGAGTATATCTGGATAGAAGATGCACGGTCTGAACAGGTTCATTCATCACCTCACTTTCCTTTAACGTCATCCACAGAAGGTAAGGACAGCGGGGCCCCTGGAGGGCTGTGTGGCTCCTGGCACTGCAGATGGTGGAGGGGGAAGCAATGAGAGGAACCCGCTCCACCCTGATAGGACCTGTGAGGGAAACAGTGGAGAGAAAGCTGCTAGGATCTATGACTCCATGATGTCACACAGCCACAGCACCCCTCCCAGCACACCCAAGAGTACACCCCCCTAGGTGGGCTAGGGTCACCATGGTAACGGCACACAGAGGGCGTTTACCGTGGGGAGTCGGGTTCCTGAAGCTGCTGCCGGGATGCTTCCTGCTGCTCTGCACTGCACTGCATGGGGCATGTTGTTGTGCTATGGCTCAGGCTGGGGGGGGGGGGGGGGGGTTGGGCCTAGATAACTGCATCTACACAAAACGTTTCCTTTCGTCAAACCTACTTTCAGGAATCGCAACCTCCAATTAACTCTGCAGTGCTGGTTTCAAAGCATGCTGTGCTTCTTGCTGCATGTGGGATGGGAATTGACTTGATCAGGGTAGCAGCCAATTTAGGAATTGTGTCCTCTCTTTATTAGACCCAGGCTACTTCATTTCATCCATTGCCACTTGTCATGTGGGCAACAAGTAGTAGGCTTGTCGTGACTCCTCTTTTGCAGCTTAAGACAGATGTGAAAGTAAGCTAGAGGAGCTCACACTGAAGGTCCTGGGTCAAAGGAGGTTTAGTTGTGAAATTTGAGATGACTGAGCTGGTTTTATACGTTCATACAGATTTTGAATAACGTTTAGTTGGTAACTTAGGTAATTTTATTAGGCAGGGTCATCAGTAGGCTACCCAATCCAACTTGATGTCACAGATGAAACTGAAAAGTGCAAGTTGCTCAGGCAGCTTGTATCTGAAAAGTATCATCTTGTATCAGGAATACTGATGACATCTGGTGTTAGAAGATGGAATAGCGAGTGTAATTTATGTCTTCATTTTATAATCTGTCACCACTATTAATCACATTGGGAATGTTCAGAGGGTTTCTCATCATTGATCAGTAAATCATGTCCAGAATCCACACTGTTTGTTAAGTAAATTTGATCCAAGCGTCTATAGCATTACCAACCATTAAAACAAAACATCTGGATATATAAAACAAATCTATTAAACCTTCTGAATGAATCCCTGCTGTCCGATCTTATGCATCAAGCCATCTCACATTCTCTTCTCATTCACAAGTGATTTGATCCGCGTGGTGCAATTCACCTCATTTCCCGCGTCTGTGGTTCGGATCTCCCTCGTGACGATGCATCCTTCATTCTCTCCGCAGGATGATGAGAAGCTGTCGCGGGCTTGCGTGGCCGAGTTGACTCCGCTGTCCCCTCGTCGATCCTACAAAGGCACGAGCACAGACTCCTCTCACCTCCACCTCGGCGCTGCGGAGACACTGTCGCTCCGCAGGTCTGATCCCCTTCCTCAGAAACGACTGGTCCACTTGGCGGAAGGTGGAGGGGCAGACGTGCGCTCTCTCAGCCCCTACATGCTCCGTCTCTCGGGAGAAGGGTTTGCCTACTACGCTCCGGGGCCTGAGACCTCCGTGTGAACACAAAACAAAGCGGGCTCCGAAACTATGTGCAAGTGGATCTCGCAGGCCGAAAACATAAAAGTCCATCGGCGCCTGGATGTGCGACCGAGAGACGGCAACTCAAGGATCAAGGATTTCTAGAGCAAAATACAAACAAACATGTTCACACGCATCCACCTCCATGCTGAGCTCACTATGTGCATTTCCTGGGCTACACCTGAGTGAACAACCCTTTAGATATTTCAGCCCTGACGCCTCATCTTCATACTTTGGTAACACCTTTTCGATTCAGTGTCGTCCCCTGTCTTAGTCTCAACCAAGTTCCTAACCCAAACTCTTACTTGAACAAGTCTAAGAACAAAAAGGGGCAAAGGTGCGTTGTTTCACGCACTATTGAACTGTCCTGTTTCAACATGTCAACAGTCAGGCCTTTTTGTATTCCTTGTCCTCATTTTCAGTCTCCCGTTCTTGCCTGTTCCGCCACTTTCCGTGTCCCGTTTGCTTCTTTGTTAATGTTTGTTGAAAACATTTATGTACAGTTTGTGGTCTGGCCAAGTAAGGTTGCGGCCGGTCAAGCTCAACCCTTTAGGTGTGCGTGCGTGCGTGTGCATGTGCGCGAGTGTATGCATGAATTTGCCTGTTACTGTATGTTTGTACGTGACACACCTTTGCCTTACAGGTAGCCACACAGCAGCAGGCTAGTAGCCAAAAGAGAAAGGTGTAAAAAAACAACAATAATAATAAAAAAAGTAGAAGAGGTGTAATACAAAGCCTTACACACACACACAGCTGCAGGAGGGAATGTGGGGAATCTGAAGAGGGATGTGCAGTATACTAGCCACCCTGCCTTAATTCATAGATACTGATTTTTAGTGGATTATATTTCTAAGTCAGTTTAAACATGCTTGTGAGTAGACCGGTTCAGAGGGCATACGTGTCCGGTACAGTTTGTCAATTGTTCCTCTTCTTTTACCCTCACATTTGTTTTCTTCTTATCTGCCAGTGTAGCATGTCGGATCTCCCTGCAGCATGCTGATCCGCTCCTCTCTCGGTTCTTCCATATCCTCCCTCGTCCCGGGCATCATTCATCGTGAACCATATCCCGACACCTTTGTCTTTCTCCCAACAATGAGCACACTGTACCCACTCCTGCCCCAGTGTGGTCCTGTGGGGTAACAGCAGCAGCAGCCCCAGACTCTTTATTTATGGATGTCCTAAATGACTGTTGCATTGTGCTTGTGTGTTTGCTGCCATGCTCTGTGTTATGCAAAAGTTAACGTAAGAATGCTGATGTCATGTTGTCACATTATAAGGTTTTTTTTTTCTCTGTGTTGCATTTATCTGAGTTATTCTGTATTGTTCTAAAAATTATTGATGGCGGTCACTGTTGATGTATGGATGTAACTTAAAAAAAACAACTTTTGATATATATTGTAGTGAGAAGAGATATTCTTTAGTCTGTTGTGAGTAGGAGGGAGACTTGAAGCGGCGATGTCACAATCAAATCGATAGAATGTTGAACTGATTTGTCCATCATGTCCTCCAGCTGACGATTGTAGCTCATCATGGATGAACCACTTTTCTGCATTTCTAACATCCGAAGTCCTCTTTGTCCAAAGCATATCTGTCCTGTTGCACAGCAAGTGACTGACTCTGGAAGTCTTGAATGTCAGATTCCGAAGCATTTTTGTATGTTTATACAGTTTATTTTCATACACATCACCATCTGCCAACATGTATAGATTTAATAACAGGTGTTCGGTATTTTTTTACTGGGGCACAGATGATTTTTCAGTTTGGTTGGAGGTCTGGATTTGTCTCTTTCAGTTTTCACTCAAAGCCTCCACAAGTGTTTGAACTTGGGGGCTCAACGTCCTGACCTCAGTAGATTAATAGAAGGGCCTTGGTGCTTGTTATGCAGTGTCCCACCTCACTGTGCTGTTGCCATACTGTATCCAGACATATTCTACATGTCACATACAAATCCTACCATAACAATGCTATAAGGTCTATTTTACTTTAATAATGTAATGGGGAATTCTTTGGAGTCATTCTTCAAACACAGTTTGTTATTCGAGACCTCCACAGTTATGTTTGTGTTGTCCACATTGAATATTTCTTTTGCTACTTTTGTATCCCAGAGAGAAGACTATATTTTAACTGTGTTAGAATGTGTGTTCAAGTTTGTAACCAAAATTAGAGCAACATACACATTATATGATTCATTAGAGATTTACAAATAGGTCTACACACTGCACTTTGTTCTACAACGGATCAGTTTTCCCCCTAAAACAAGGTCTAATGTCCGTCGACTAGGGGCTTATAAGTGTTCACTCTTCCTCACAAGTTATTTTTCTAAGAATGTAGTGGGTGAGAAAAAAAAAAAAGTGACCAAATAACTTGACTAGGAACAAATGGGTTTATCGCACCAGCCTTCTGCTGATCAGAATGTCAAACTGCTTTTTCTAAGTCCATCAGCAGAACAGCAGGTGCTTATCCTGTCACTCCTGAGCTTGGCCAATGTCTGAAGTGTCGACTTCTGTGCTCTGAGCAGCACGCCTCTCATATCATACCTTTCAGTACAGCACTGTTTGTATTACTAAACAGGTTTTGAGAATTTACTGTTTGTTTTGGATAAAGACTTTAAAAGTTCAGTTGTTGACTTTTTGCCAGCCTGTCTGTAGCAAATGGGGGCAGAGCACTGTATTGTCATTCTGCTTGTAATAAAGAGCGAGTGAAAGCATTTGTCACCTCTGTTCATTTCATATAATTGATGCACGTTTTTCTGCTATTGTCCCTGAATGACTACTAGGCTCTCTCTCTTGTCATTTCAGACCTCAACCGTCAATTTCCACCATTCCCCGGTCACATGATCGTCACGCGCCAGCACACCTGCGCCTCATTCACGCTAATCAGCCACTCGGTACCAGCCCACAGACGTTAACCTTATGCGAGGTTGTCTAATATCAGTGTAGCTCCTATAACGTTGTCATACTCACGGTGAACAGTTAAAAGTATCAAACTCGATGCAGCAGAACCGCTCTTTTTTTTTTTATTCCACACATTCGTCTACGTTGTCAAAACTTGGCGCCTACATTACCAACAATGCAACTCGACCCCCGACAGTTCAATTGGAGATGCAGGTGTTTGTGCTAGTAGCAGCTAATGTAACCTCGAGCTGCTAGTCTCGAGCAGAGCTGGGGAGCCTGCTGCAGAGGTGTGGTAAGATAACGTCTTCACAACTCAACCCCCCCCCCCTTGCAGGAGCCACGAAAGGCTTTATGCATGTTCTTTCAAACAGGCTAAAGTTTAGTAGCCCCATTACCTGTCACAAGAGCTAAGAGTTCTCCTAGTACCTCACGGTCCGTTTCTTCTTTCGAAGTGATTTCCTTGAGAATTGTAGACTGTTAATTCTTTGGATTATGTTTTCAGCTTCACTGTATTGGCCACTAATTCTGAAAAGAGACGTTGAATAATTGTAATAGAGTACCATTCATCTATTGATAACTAACCTACAAACCTACAAAACCTGGACAGAAAAATAAATGTATTTAGAATAAAGTTGTTTTGGATAAATAATAGAATCCATAACATGTTTCATAATTCTGTTATTTGGTTGGTCAAGTGTTATGGCCATAACTTCTGGACACAGGGAGAAATCGCCCCCCCTTGCAGCCATGTGCTCTCAATCGCCTCCAAAACACAACAGCAGGTTGAAGTAAAAATCAAATAGATTTATTATCCAAGAAGCATAAAAACAGATACAAACAGTTACAAACCGAATCACACTATTAATAACAAAACAAACTTGTATATAAAATGAAAGTGAGATCCAATCCGAGCCACCCAGGAGGCTGGTATGCCTCCTCGGTGGCCAGCAGAAGATCTGAAATCCCCCAGAGCTTCAAACCCTTTGTCACCCCAAAGATTCCTCAGCTTATTGATCAGCTCATTGATTGGCTGAAGTCCAACAAGCCCCACCTGGGCCTATGCCCCATTGTCTTGATGTTAACACCTCTCCTAGCCATTTTCACACAACCTCCACTCCAGCACATTCCTCAAACCCCCTCTCACAGACACTTAATGCATGAAATGACCAGGTTTTTTAGGTTCACAACAGTGCAATATCTTCTCCTCCTGTCTGTATTACTTGCCAGAATTAATTGATCTGTGTAGAGTTGTGTCAGAAAACAACAAATGAACCTTTGTACGTAAACAAAGAAGCATAAACCTTCATTGGAAGACCAAAGTATTGCAGTCGAGTGGAAAAAATACAAATGGAATTCGCTCTTTTGTAAAGTAACCCTTACCATTGTTTGTAATAGCCAAGTTCCGTCACATGGTGGCAATGCAGCATAATCAATGATGCATGATCGGCAGTACTGTGCTGTTTCTGTGGATGACAATGTGTCATGACACAGCTGTTGTGCCTTGCCTCTACACTGGATGTCGCTGTTGGATCAGCTGTTTGTGGGAAACCGTACTGCTGACCTTCAAATCCCCTCCCCCTCTATGTCTTCCAGGTCTTCACAGGTTTGCACCATCATGTGTGCTGAGGCTGAAGCATGCATGTGCGGATGAGGCTGCCTCCTGCTCCACCTCCTCCCCGTCTACATCGCCGGTGTCCTGTGTTCTGCATCCCTCCGCGGAGGACTCGTCACTGCAGCTGGGGCTGTGACAGCCGTAGCAGCTTCAGCATCTCCCGCTCGTCCGCCTCTGCAGCATCCTCGAAAGCATCCATTTCTCACAAGCATCCCAGCACCTCCGAGCTACACACACCCCCTCTCTCTCAGATCTCTTTCCTCCAGCAGCCGTGTGTCGTACAAGCCAGCAGCCAGGCGGTCCCAACCTGGGCTAGTTTACCCCTCTTCCCTTCTGCTCGGCTGGGCTCGCCACCACAACAGTCCCCCATCTCTCATCCTCGTCGCCATCATCCACTCTCCGTAGCACCGGGCAGGAAAAAGCAGGCAAGCTGTCTCTTTTTCTTGCAGAAGTGTCTGTTGGCTGGGCAGCTGGTCTTCCACTGTCCCTTTGGAGGATGATCCTGTGGATGAAGACAGAGGAGATGGTCCTGGGGGAGCTGCTGGAGAGACTGAGGACAGTCAGTCAGAGCATAGGTGGGTGACAACAACACGCATCACAACAACTGTAATCCCTGGTCATTGCAGAGGATTATGCATGATTATAGGTGAAATACTAATCTGTATTCAGCCACAATAAGTGACAATATTATATCTCTTGTTTGGTTAAATGTAGACCAAATCTAATTTGAATCAAGGGTTTATAAAGGAAAATGCAGGATCATCATGTCAATGAGCTACAAATCTTTGTTTCTGCAGGAAACCACACCAGGTTTACCGTTTAACGGTTTTGGCCGTTACGCTGTTCTTTTGTCACAAGACTTGCTTTTACTGTTTAATCTTGCCGTGGAAAATGTGATATTGACTCATTTTCTTTCATCTAGAACGAGAAAAAAGTAGTGCATGGTGTTGTGACATGGATTGAAATATTTTGTATTGCATACAGATAGTTTAGTTATAAAAAGGCAAAACGTCCTTTGTTATAATTGTATATCTATCATGTTTAATTGCATTCAATCTCATTTGTAATCTATACACTGATGTCTGCAAAAATATCTACGGTTGCCCATTGAAATGGATGATGATATCTACTGCAAAAGCCAGGCTGATATGTGTGATGCTGTTTCTCAGTACTCCACCCTATTGAGTTACAGTTTTGTCTATCTATTTCTCTATATAGTCCTATCCCCACTGTAACCCTGGACAGATTACTCACTTCATGTAGTCACCTCTTAGATTTTGCTGTCAGGGCTCTGCTACATCTGCTATTGTGTTTTGTGCAACACTGTGTGTTTAGTCATGGCCTTTCATATTTTCCCTGAGGAGTCAAAGCGGCTGCAGGGAAACATTTTATGTCTATCATTATGCAGTCATGGAAAACAAAGCTATTTCGGAGCCTTTCTGAGTTAACACGAGAACCCTTTTCCCGGACTGCAGATGTGATATCCTGACTTTGCTCTTGCGGCCTCATGATTTATCACCACTGACTGAAGGACAGATTTCTCTCCTTAATCTAACAAGTGCTCCTAAGATGAATGATATTTCAGCTTCTCGTTTCTTTTTTGATCCTTTTATAGAGATTTCCTTTAATCCACTCACCGCCCGCACACAGAGGCCACAGCTGCTCATTGAGTAGCATTGTAGTTTTCAGATCATGATTGTTTTTAGCTGTATTTGTACGTGCAGCTACCGTATGAATGCAGAGGGAAGCGGAATAATAATGTATTATATGCTGATGATTTTTTATTTTAAATCTACAATAACAATGAGGCTCTTGCTACAATCATCATGAATACAGCACAGTGGGCTCGAGTTGCACCTCCTCCTTAGCACCAGAGATGGTGAAAGTATGGCGGCAGTGAGTGGGTGGGTGGACTTGTGCGAGGAGGGGGCATTGCAATGCCGACGCTAGAGGAATAAAACTGAAACATACTGCAGCTCTGACAGAAATATGAGCTGCGTGACTCCAGACATGATAAAAGCAGAATTACATGAAAATTATGAAACATTTTCGTATTCCTTCTTCTGCATTACGTGTGTGACATTATAGTAAACATTTGCAGACATTGCAATCATTGGTAGCACTTTGTTTAAAAGGAAATGTGACAGGAATTTGCTGTGGCAGGAAGATGAGAGCAGTAATCGGCTCAGAGAGACTAACACTGATCACAGAAGACAGCAGAGAAGGAAGGGAGCAGTGAGAGTGAGGAAAAGAGAGATTCAGAGAAACTCTGGGGAAACAAAGTTAACTGAGGATGAAAACGATTTGTCATTGTCTAATCTGACGAACTGATGGCTTCTACATGGCTGAAAAGGAGGTGTCATGTTGTAAATTACTCCTCTCGTCCCCAGAGAACAAGTTGCAAACAGATCTTGTCTCTGAATTGGATCATGGTTTCTGACTGACATGCCTAAACGTGCAATATTCTCAAACTGATATCAATTCAGGAAAATCTGTTTGCATCCCACACCGTGGCTGCCTATATTTTCTTTTTCTAATCAGTGGCAGCGATCCAATCCATCCATCTATCAGTGTGGTCAGTCAGTCAGCAGTAGGTGGGCCGAGCTGTTTAGCACATCGTATCTGTGCTCGGTTGATACAAAAATAATACATGGAATGGAGAAATGTGCATTTCTTCATCATTCAATATACATAAATAACTTTGGTTTTGGACAGCTGGTCAGACAGAACAGCGAGTGTAAATCTTACCATTTTCGCCGTCTTAGTTTAGTGTGTTGGCAACATATGATAATTAGCATTAAACATGGAGTATAGCTTTGGCTGATGGGAATGTAGATTTTGCAGGTATTTTGTCATAACCGGAAGTATTAAAAAAAAAAGAAAAAAAAGAGAAAAGATTTGACCTGATGTGCTAGATAAAAAGTCAAGGGGTCACCAAAATTATTATAATTTATCTTTAGCAGATTATGAATGTGTGTACAAAATTCCATGGCCAAAGTTGTTGAGATATTTCACTATAAATCACTTGGTCAACAGGAAGAGTCGGATGATCACCGAAGTCATTAGAATGCATAGTCTGGGATCCATGAATGTATGGACAAAATGATGTGCCAATACATCCAGTAGATGTTGAAATATTTACCTGGATAAGTGAAGGCTTCGACCTGCTTGTGGCGCTACAGGAAAAGGCAGAGGACCACCAATGTCGGTATGCTTCCTTCTCCGGGAACCATCAATATCTGTACAAAACCTTGATGGCAATTGATCCAATCGTTGCTGAGATATTTCAGTCTGGATCGAACTGGTGGACCAACCAACCAAAACATTGCAAACAAAAAGCCACGGTCTTAGCATGGCTTAAAAAAACATGAAAAAACAGATTTTAAGTTTAGCATATCGTTAATCAGTGAAATGAAAATAATTCTTACTTGCAGCCCTAATGAAAAATGTCTTCTCCTGGACTCTGACTGGGCATTTGACCTACTTCCAGTTGATTTAAAGGGACACATCCAGTTCAGTGAATCACAGGTCTCAGCTTGTGCATCTGCTGCCAGTAATGCTTGGGGAGCTGTTTTATTTATTGCGCAGTAATAGTGAAGTATTATATGTGGTGTTGCAGAGCATGGCTAGTATGTATTCACACCTCTCTGCTTATATGTGAGAGACTGTCTAGTGTGTGTTTGCTGCTGAGCCAGGCAGGAGCTGAGGTTTATGAAAGTGTCTGAGCTCCAGGCAGCCCAGCTGCCTCATGACTTCATGGTTGCTACTCAGTCATTTGTTATTGATCAAATGCTCCCTTGAGGCGCTGTTTTGGATTGAAAGGGAGGAAGGAAGGAAGCTTGCCTATAAATCAGATATATTCGTAAGACTTTATTGTCACAAATAATGTTCGTGTCGGGTTACTGATTAGCTCGAGGTCAGGGGTTCAACCTTTCAAGGTGAGCTGTGCTGTTTATCCCTAAAGGCATAGCAGGTGTATAGCCAGATGGATCCGTCTCCAGCTAATCAGCAGTGGTCAAAAAGACGCCCAAGCTAGGGAGGGGGCTGCAATAATAAAGCATTCTCAGTTTATGTCATTGCATTTTATCGAGGATAGTTGCAATGTATTTTTCCCATCAAACGAAATATAATTTAAACTGTCTGCCTTATTTTAAATGCTAATGTCCTGCTTCAGATCGTTATCTGCTGTATGTGTATATCGGCTTTAATCATGTCGAGATAGAAATGACAGAAACAATGTGTTTATGTAGTGGCCATACTAATTAATTAATACTGTCTAATGGGGAGGCTCTGGGCGGCCACCACTTTGGTCCAGACTGAAGTATCTAAACAACTACTGGCTGAAATTAAGTACTGATGTTCATGGTGCCCAGAGGATGAATCTTATCGACTTTAGTGACCGTGATCTTTTGGTTTTCTTCTATAGCGCCACCATGATGTTGACATTATAGACAGATTTCAATGAAATTTGGACAGTCATGCCCCCATCAAGATTTAGTAGTAACTCTGGTGATCCACTGACTTTTCATGTAGCGCCATCATCAGATCAAAAATTTGATTTGTCCAGTACTTTTGCTTATGTCATTGTTGGGATGTTATGCTGAAGTTAGCATTTAGCTCAAAACATTGCTGTGGCAAAGTACAGCGTCACTAGCATAGCTGTAGACTCTTAGTCTTGTTGTTTTCTGATTGGTGGTGGTCTTTGCTGATTTCAGCAGCTTTGGTTATTACGTTGGGACAGGCTGACGTATGAGCTTTGTGTGCTTGTGTATATGTCCGTGTCCACACAGGCAGGTATATGGAAGTGTGAGAGCAAACAGTACGGAAGGGCTACAGATGAAGTAACACACAAGAGGTGGGTGATGGCGTAATGAAAAATAAGGAGAAGAGAGGGTGGGGAGACAGAGACAGAGATGGAGGGTTATGGGTAGATGGCTGATGATGTGTGTCTCCTCCTGCAGTCGCCGCATCAAGTGTGAGAGTGCAGTGCCTCTCTCATTGCTATTCTAAGCCTATAAACTGCAAGCTGCCTTTTGCTCGCCAAACACACATACTTAAAGGCCTGCCAGCAACCTCCTCCACTCTCCCATCAAAGAGGACCCTCTTTGCTCCTCCACCTCAGTAACCAGCACACTCTGAGCTGTCTTTGTCCACTGCAAAGTTTTAGTGTTGGAAGGTTTTACATTTCCATGCTCTCCCGGTTCACCAGGAATGAATGCCTGAAAGAATCTGGGGAGATAGAAAGAGGGAAAGATTAGTTAGGGAGTGGAGGAATATAATTAGCCTGAGCAGCAGAAGGGGATTTGTGCTCCACCGGCTGCCCTCTGCTCCAGCTCACCTCCAGCCTCCTCCCCTCCCGTCCTTCCTTGGAAACCTATGCTACTCTGATCCGTCAATAGTAGCACTTGCGACGCACTTGCGACGAGGTATGCATGCGCATTCAGAGTGAGCTGGGCCCATACTCACCTCTAGTGTGAACACTTTGTTTCAGAGGTTGTGCAGACAGTGACTTAGCTTTTTTGGGGTTCTGCACTGCTGTTTCCTGAGTCCCCAATGTGGCACTGCAGAGGACACCAGGCTTGTCTTGTATGTAGCCAATGCAGACATCTCCTCAGAGGATGCATGTGAGATCATCTCGGCTTGATTCCGAGTGAACCGGCACATTACAACAAAGGTCCTTCCCATGCCGGCATTTGGGGGCTTGCGATTCGGAGTCTATCAGAGTGTGCAGCGGAGCTTTGCAGGTGCAGCGAGGGCTCTCTCTGGATGACAGAGTTTGTTGCAGTGTGTGAGACCAGCAGACTGCTCTCATGTCTCTGCACGAGTTTCTGCGGGAGGGTGGCGAGGCGTCGTACCGGATAGTGAACCGGCTCAGTCATCTGATCCAGAACCTGGACGTCTCTGGACTGGGCTCTCCTTTCCCTTTCAACCCTGCCAGCCGCAGGAACTCCTGGAGAGACTTGGATGGTAAGCCCAAAAGAGGAAAGGAGACGGGTGTGTGTGCAATTTTCCAGTGTTCATGTATGTATGCATGCGTGTGTATTTGTATGCAATATTCCCGACTGGAGCTCTGGCCAGAGTTCTGCAGGGCATCACGCCCAGAGCCCCACACACAGTGTTTCCTGTGGGCTTCCCTTTGCTCCCCACTGGGCTGTTTGTGTGTCTTTGTGTGTACAACTGTTTGTCTCCACGAGAGTGCGTGACTGCGCAGTTCAAACAGTTGCTTCAGTTTCCAGCTTGCAGATCTTCGCAGCTGCACTGATTTTTTCTTTTTTTTTTTTTTTTTTTCTTTCTTTTTCTTTTTTCTCTCCCTCTGTAGTGGTAACAGATTCTTCAACATATGCAGAAATTGCAACACACAGCACCTTCCCAGCAGACGAGCTGGTGCAAAGGAGTGGGAACTGCTGATTAAAGCTGCTGACTTTTCAAGTTGGTGTCCTGCCTGTCTGTCAGCCAGATTGTTGCCACTTTTTCCACTGCATAGAAAGGGACTTTTGCTGGTCTCACTAGCACGCAGGGAGAAAAGCATGGTGAGCAAAGCCAGGAGGAGTGCTTCTCAATGGGATAGTGGGATGCCGATGGTCCCGCTTAAGCCAAGTGAGTCAGGAGACATGTGCATGGAATTACTTCTGTCTGTGTGGTTAGGATGCTTGTGTATTTTGCTATGTCTGGGGAAAACTCTGACCAAAAATCCGACCCTGTGTCTGTATATGTCAGCTATTTTCCTATAGCTTGCTGACACGATGTATGTGAAAACGTTGTCGTTTCCTTAAACGTACATATCTTTGTCCTCAGATATTTATGTTTGTTCTGTCCCTGGTTGAAGGTTGCTTCTTGTTTAAAGATATTGCTGTGCCTGGCACTTGTGGATTGCATGTGTATCTGCAGCTACAGTACAGTATGTGCATATGTGTTGGCACGTATGGACTCCAGTAAACAGTATGTGCATGTTTTTCTTGTCTGCTTTGTCTGTCTTTACCTCAAGCTGTGTAGTTTCAGGGAAGGTTTCCAGCTCTGTTAAAATCATTAGCCATGAGGTGAATTCGTACAAGAGAGGAACTATGTTGTTGATCTAGCAGTTGTTTGGTTCTACTGGCTGAGGCCACTTAGCAATGATACTGTCAGAAATACTGGGAAAGACTATTTGTGTGTGCTTGATTGCATACATAAAAACATTGATCTGCAAGTTGTTCCTCCTATGACTGATTCTTAAGATGATCTCAGAAGAAGCCCAAATGAAACTCCAAAGCAACCTTACTTATACTCAAAAACATTTTTAATCAAGTGCATTCTGGAATTGACACTGTAGAGGGTATTGTAAGTTCTACAGACTGCAAAGTGATGAGCTTGTAATTTGGGGCTGTATAAACAAAAAAGACTTGACTTGTAATGAGCGATTAAACCAAATCCGTCTTTCTAGGTGGGAATCCAGTGTGGGATCATGTCCTATCTCTGTTGGTGTTGTCCGACATGTTATAATAGGACAATGCTAAAACAACGGAGTACTCTTTTTCGCAATGGAGAGTTTTTTGAAAAAAGGATCTAAATCAATGCAGCACAATCAGAGATGTCACCTTTTTTAGTACACACATTTTTCTTCCTTGTGAAAAAAACCTGGCGCCTACATTACCCACAATTACAGCTGGGTATCGGTACTAGATACCTTTTTAAGGTTCATATTTATGTGGTTTTCCTGGCAGCCAATCACAGCAAGCATTCTTAAATTTAATGAGACATGTGATTGGCCCACTACTGCAACAGCTACAACCCATACAGCCAGCTTTGAACCCGGACATATCTGAGCCTGCGGCTTGCAGCTCACGATACTAACAGTGCCTACAGTGCTAACGACGGCAACAGTACTGACAGAGCAAACCGTTTTAACCCGGGGGTAACCGGAGGGTGGGCGTAACTCTTCCACTACAACGCTGCCACTCGACCACTTTGGGTCGAGTGGCGACGTTAGCGTTTTAACCGAATGATAGCAATTATATAATTTTAAGGGTACTGATATTGATGCTGGCATCGTAATTTCTTAAAACATACCCAGCCCTACCCACAATACAACTAGACAGCCGACAGAGTCTGTGTATTATGCTATTAGGTGGGGATGCACCGGTACAGATACCAGTATCTGGTCCGATATTGTGCTCATGTACTCGTAGCGATAAAACTACTCTGATACAGCCGCACCTGATACCGCTTAGGCAACGTGAAGTTAACCTCTCGTCAGTTGAGCCTTACAAGTTGTCAACAACAGCATCATGTTGTATATTTAATTTGTTACTGTCAGAAAGTGAAATCTGATGAAAATGAAACATGTTTTTAAAGTCATCGGCAAGTTTTCAAATGTAAGTACTTGCTCTTGGTCTGAAGAAAAGTGGTATCTGTGCGTCCCTTCTATTTGGGGCTAACGTCGCCTTGAGCTGCTAGCTTCAAGTAGAGATGAGGGGCAGCTTACAAAGCTCTGGTCATCAACTCTCTTCTTTCTAACTCCTCACTCTCATTATTTTTAAATGCTCTAGTTTTCTGCTCCAACCTACGCTGACTCGAGGTACATCACTTGAGTTAATTTATCAGTTCCCCAATTATGTTAAACATCGTATTCTTGCATTTTGTGTTTACTGAAGCTTTCTTGATTTAGAGGAAAATATCTGATACACTAGTTGCTCTCATTCTTGGTACTCGCTCATTGGCTTTATGTGACAAAAACACGATGAATCAGTGTCTTTTAAATTAGACTGAGACTGCGAGTTGAGCGTTCTGTCTCTTTGTTTGACTCTCTTGTTCACGTTGAGTTGTGCAGTTCTTTAACCTAATGGCTCTCGTGTTTATCTCAAGGTTTATGACACTGATAACCTCGTGCTTGCCCTTGGTCATAGAGCAAACATATACATTAAACACAACCCCCACACACATAACACACACATACACATACTTATGCGCGCACATGCATGCATACATCACTTAACACAATCAACATCTCTTGCCCAAACCTTTTAGCACACTGAGCTTGTATTTGTAGATAACGGTTGAATTGGGACAGAGAATGGTGTCTATTAGCTTGTTTTTAGGTGAAATGTATCTTTTATGCAACTCGTTGAAATGGAATCTAAATCGCCACATTCTGTTCAGAAACAGTGTCTTTCTGTGAGACGTCTCTAACTAAGTCTTTCAGCAAATGTGTAAGAATGGGGTCTTTTATAAACAAGAATAGGGGCTTTGAATGGATACAGTCTGCGAATGGTTAAATGGGGATGCAGGCAGTGTTTGAATGGGCTGGTCAGAATGGAGGCTTTGTACTTTTGGTCCACATCTCCCTAGATAAGGCAGACGAGGAGCCAGAGCTTTGTTGAACTAGGTAAATGAGCACTGGCGAAAGGACTGGGAGCTGCAGTTCCTATAACACTGTGACACAACATAGCATGACATAGCTTAGCATGCATAACTGTTTCTAGTCTTACAGAGTCAAGAATTGATCCCTTTTTAGAGGTCAGTTTTAGTCATTCATTAGCAGGTTGGAGGCATTACTGTTCAACCAGGAGGGGTCAGGTAATGGTGTTTCTTTAGGAGAGGGAAAATGGTAGCAGGGAGGGTGGGGTTAGGGTGCCACAATGTTGCTTTTGTCTGCAGGGAAGGTAACCTGAGGTTGCAATAGGAAGTCCCCACAGTTACTGAGTGACGCCCTGCAGGCTGTAGAGCACCTGCAGCCCGACGGAGAGAGAGAGGCCGCATGTGGAGTCTGGTGAAAGATGGAGTCAGAATGAGAGGGAAACTGTTGCAGTCATACCACCTTCTTCTTTTTTTTTTTTTTTGCAAAGCTGCATGGAACAAGTGTTGCAGAAGAGGAGTAAACAAGACGTAGGCTGGTGTAGCAAGATGGGGGGAGAGGAGATGGCAGATTCAGGCTTCCTGATGGAGGAGGATGTTGAGGTGGAGTTAGACTCTGGGTTTTGCATTGATGTGGACTTAGAGCTGAGTTTAGGGGAACAGGTGGCTGAAGGCTCAGATGAACACCCAGATAGAGAGGAGTTGGTTTGGTTTGTGAGTACAGGACACGCTGATTCTCCGTTTACTAGTAATGAGCAAAAAGAGGAAAGTCCAGGAGGAGTTGGAGCTAGTGAAACCTCAGGGGAAGGCGAGACAGAGGCTGATTCAGGGTCGATGGAGAATGGAGAGACTGAAGCGGAGAGAGGAGTTGAGATGGATGATCAAAGTGAAGAGGTCAAAGAGGAGGAGATGGAGGGGTCACTGGATGTGTGTTTGTGGCCAGTAGAGGAGAGTGGGGGTCATGTACGGATCTCTCTGGAGGAGGTGGAAAGATACTACCGATTTGCTCGCTGCTGCCACTGGCTGTGTGGTAGGTATCAGATGTTTTATCGTTTCTCACCTTTTTGGTTCACAAAATGAGTCTTCCCTTGTCACAGTCTTTCTTTCACTATGCTGTATATACAATGTTTGTTTTTATGGGCAGATTATCCCTTTTATTATATTAAGCACGATTTGGGTCTGTTATGTCAACACAGCATCTTCTACCTGTCCTTTTCTGTTTGAGTTGGCCTGTCCTCTACCTTTGCTCCCACGTAGAGTTAGGTTTGGAATACACAGCATTTGCTTTCTTCGTTGGAAGTGAAATCTTGAGTTCATTTGGCTGTGCAGTTTCATCTGATGTCTGTTTTTTCCCTCCTTAAAATCTATTAAATGTAGAAGAAGAAACTGTAAATCACGGACACTCAGTGTTGTGTGTAGGTATATAGGATCTGGTAGAGATCATTTTGATAGTGATCAAGAGAGTATATTAAGACAGAACCATGGGTAAATGTTTGTCCTTTAACAAGTTTTGATGAGCTGAGGCAGTACAGAAGAGACATCAGCTGTGTTTGGGCGATTTGATATATCTTTTGGAGGGATTCAGGTGTTTTGACCATTTATTTTTTCATTCAATCTACAGGATGATTGCTGTTTTC